GGGATAGCAGTTATCTGTCAGTCTGTGCCGAGCTGACTGGGAAACTTTCCTTTACTATTCAGAAGGTTGCCATCGGTGCCCAGTTGAATGGGTAGTGCCTCTCTTCTGATTACGCCTACAGTATCGTTGGACTCATTAGGCTGCACCATCTTGTATGCATGAGGGCTCTAATAGAACAGCTGACTCACTACGGTAATCAGTAACCTTAATACATCATTTATGTTCATTTGTATCCTATTGCCTTGTTCGACTTGATCAGCTCGCATTTCTTGAAAACTTGAGGTAACCTTAACGACACAGCATGTTGGATTGATTGGGAACTCATCCCTTCGCCTGTGGGAAGCCACCGCAATGGCGTAATTGTTACGTGCTCAAAAGTTGGCGCGTGCTGTTCCAGTACTGTAGCTACCACGGCGCGAGACCAGCTTCATTGACCGACAAAGAACACCAAACGGGTATAGTTAATTTAAACTTATGACGGTCGATTGATTGGATTAGAAGCATGTTGATTCTCCAACTTCAGCTTCGAAATAACGGTTTCTCGTAAGCCAGAGTACTGCGGACGTAAATAATAGCCGGAATCCCAGCGACTGCACCGAAACCCGCGCACACGCATCCGTTCTTCGTTGTCTGGATTCACTAGTCACTATCGCCCTCTGATTGGTCAACGCACCGTTCGACGGGCACGTGATTGGTCACACGCTTTGCTCCTCCGGTCTTTCTTAGACAGTCGGCTAATCACCGTGGTGCCCGATCTGGCTCCGAGCTTGAGTGGAAGCTTGTTCGTGAAGCAAAAGCACGAAATGGCATTTTACGTCTTTCTGACAAGAAAAGTTAATGTTTGGTTCGATGTATCTTCGTTCCTGGGGCTTAAAATGATTTTGGGAATGAGTTGGGAAGAAAAGTGATACAGTAGTCACACAGAGACGTACGATGCTATTTCACCCTGTAGGGTCATACAAATATACACATTTGCTAGGATTTGGTGTTTCTTCCGAACTCCGAGCAGTTCAACCATCTAAAGAGATTACGTTTGCCGCACCAGGTGAGAATGGACTATTATCTTGGAGGGATGGAAGAGTGCACATTCATATGTGCCACTCAAAATGTCACCTGAAAACACTCGCTGTATCAAACCGGTTTGAGGCTTCGAACTCTTGTTGAAGTTGTATAGACACTTTTAGCTCACTTATTGTTAATAGGCCTCTTCATAGAAGCATTCTTTGCCCGAAGACAAACTGGGTCGTCCAGTGTACTCTCACCTGATGTTCAAAAGTGATACGGAGTTTGGCCATTAATCAGCAGCCTAGATAAGCCTCCTTTCATAATCTAATGCCATAAACCAAAGCCCCATGCGGAATGTGCCTTTGGTGATCGTTCGAATACAATGGCCCCTTTTGATTTGCACCATATAGTTTCCCGTACTATCCTTACCGCGAATTTTGCTAGTTGCAACCAAAGAAAGTGTTTACAGTGACATGCTAAATTGCCCTGCCTAGAAAGAGCCAAGTCAACTTGTGACAGACCCACTTCTAACGAAAAAACGACGGTTCTGATTCTCGTCGAGCGGTGCTTTCTGAATTTCCAGGGCTCTGGCATCACCCTTGAATCTGTTCAGAAGAAATATGCCATCGCCAAGATGCAAAACGCGAAATCCCTTCAGAAATTTAGAAAGAATCTTACTAGCAATACTGACGGTGTCCTCTGCTAAGTGTGATATTGGGAACATGATAAGCAAAGTATGAACTATTTCGAAGCCCTAGCTAAAGTAAGGACATTTTTAAAAGGGCACACATCCTTTGGAAGTGGAAAAATTAGAGGGTCTCGGACTCGGGTCTCAGGAACTATGATCCAGCGGTCCGTGGGGTAGCTCGTTTTGTTTGTGACCAGCACCCGGCATGTCAGCGCTATTACGATACTTCTGATGAATAAGCGTGAAATAACGCGTAGTCCCGGCATGTTTTTAAATGAAACAACTGTGTTTACTAATGAAAATGTGTGACAGTGAGAAAATCTCCGTTGATCTTCGTTTTTGCTTCTATTAAATATCATCCTACCCCTCCATGCCTCTACCTACAGGGGGGCTTCTTTCCATCCCACCTCACCTCCCATCGCCCTAAGGGATTGATGTTTTCCCTCCTACCTTAGGAAATGCACGACCATCCTGATCGAGTGATCGTTGGCCTTGACAGTCTTTAAAGGGACCATTCACATTAGGATAATAACAGTAGTTTTTTAAACCAGAAGTAAGTTGAGTGCTACCAAGAACTGCTTGGTCTTTTGTGAATTTCATTTAGGCAGATAATCATATGCAGACTACATGAATGACCTAAATAGACGGAGGTAAATGCATCGGATTTACCATACATGCACGCCTACTCGCTTTTCTACCGTTAATTCATTTCTGTGCTGTGGTCACTCAGAACTCAGTTTACTTCCGATCCTGTTGATTTTCTCATACTGTGTTACAACTTCTTGGTTGGGTAATTTCAGCTCAATGCTAACCATGAAAAATGCCTTTTCTTACTTCCGGAACGTATGTTAGAGCTAGCATGCATTCTCCGTCCCAAAGCTAGCCTCCCAAGCTACGCAGTTGTGCTCAGTAACTGCTCATGCATTTCTTACTGAATCTAAGTCCATAATTCCAGTTCAAGTGCTTATAGTTGTAAAACTATACAACACTGAGAAGAAAGGTTGACGGAAACTCGGGGACTGCGCCTACCTGATGAGCCCCAATAGGGGCGAAACCGGTCGTGGGCTGTCGAAGAGTTTCCAACAACCTTGTGAGTAGTTTCCTTTATGAAAAAAGGTTAATTAGCTTCAATTTTTCTTGTTCTAGTGACTTTTTGAAATACTCAGACTCGCAACGAGGGACGATTAGCTTCATCTTGTTCTAGTGACTTTTTGAAATACTCAGACTCGCAACGAGGGACGCCATCAAAAATGACTTTGGAGTTCTTGGGTTATATCATCAAACTCATTTTAAGGGCCAGTACTAACTCAACCCCCACATCTCGTCTTCTCCTGTCTAGGTTGGGGCAACCTGGTAACAGCTAAGTCCTTATGCCTACTTCTGGTGTCATTGCAGCCAGGAACCGAGAGACGGTGTTTAACTGAATGATAATCACTTATTTTATTAGGAGCCAATTTAAACATCATACCCCACAATCTCTGTACCGCCTTATAAGAGGCACTAAAACACAGTGGGATCGGAGTCTACACTATAGCGGAAAGCCCTTTTCGATACTTGTAACAGTTAACAAAATCGATTCTGAGCAATACAGTCCTGTCCTTCTTCGACTCAGGTCCGAACTAATAGATTCACTCATACCTAGCGGACTTCCGTTATTTTTAATGTTCTGACAAACCGTCACAATACTCCCTTGTTGAGGGGTTGTCCGTGGATAAAATATTCAAAAAGCTTCCGACTAATAACAGTGGTCCAGATTTTCGGCTGACCAAGCTACTAGATTTGAAACCAACGAGCAGTTTCGGTTCCGGGCATTCCAAGCACGACACTGAAGATGATTTGCTTATCACCTCCGAGCAGCTGTTGTGAAAGATTGTGGCTGAAATCCCACGCCGCAATAGAGAGTGTATTGTTAACGCAGGAAATATCACGACTTTAGCCGCATGAAAAACAACACTGAGTCAGTCTGTGATTTGTTGTTCCCTGATTTTTGTACGTATTGACCTGCAAAGCTGTTGATCGAGAGTGTAGAGGCCTCGACGTCGGTCTTTTTACTACTTCGATTCTGATTCCATCTACTTGAACTCATATAAAAAATCCGGTCATGACATGGCAAATCAAGCGGATTCGGTTGTTGGCCTATCCAAAATGAAGTCAGTTTACTGATGTAGTGTGGTAAACAGAGGTCTAACCAGTGACCGTTGGAACTGGTTGCTTTTGTCAGATTTCACATAGGCTCACTCCACTATAGACGATAGTCAGTTCTTTTCGAACGAAGCACTTGAGGAGAAACACTTGTTTGCAGTCCTTTTTTTCAACATTACTGACGTAAACTATCTGGTAGGGACGGTGTAACCGCGGCAGAATGGTGCGAAAAGTGCGGTTACTGGATGATGTGACACTACGTCGCAGTTATGCAGTTACAGTCCGTATACATTGTGTGTATGTGTGCGTCAACCCACACCATTTACTCAAGCTGTGAAGCACTGTCCACGAGTAACTTCAGTTAGAGCATCTACCTAAAGAAACATGATACACATAGATGTTCCTTCTTAATTTGCTTTCATAAGCAGGAAGTCCTGATGTTCATACGACAAAGGAGCAGTAAACGCTTGGAGACTGGAACCGAGTATATGGAACCGTACTTACTAGTGGCCCCTCAAGAGTGGTAGCCCTGAGAGAGGAGTTCTGGTGTCTCCTGGGGGCTTCAAGACCAAGCTGTGGTGGATGAAGGCCCTGTTGTGAACTAAGTGAAGTGGCGAACTCTATGCGAAGAATGTCTTTTGGGAACTACTGCACATATAAAACGGAAATAAGGAATTGAGCGTTAATAAACGGCTGAACGAAGTAGTACCAAATTAAATTAACCAGATTATGTAGCGCCATAAGCAGGTAATTTTGTGGGTCATCATCTCACGCGATCAAAGGTTGTCCCCTCCAATCTTAAAATCCTTTCTGGAACGGATTCAATGCTCAGCGGAAAACCATTGGATGTGAAATCTCCTCACGTTGATGACAACATCGCCTAGAATTTCGTTTATGATCTAACCTCGGGTTTGTTGCACGCCGTCAAAGTCAATACACCAAGCAGGTTATCTAGCTCAGTCTATCTCTTTGAGTGTGAGTCGTAATTTATCACTAATGTGTTCTGCTACGCCCACCGGACCTGGCATCAAAGCGTAT